TTTTCTCCTGTAGGAATGAGTCTAAGGCACCAAGGCCGACCCGTTTAGATAGTAGTAGCTCTGAACCACAGTCTGATGTCGGGCGGGGCCCGAAGTAGGTTTATATACTTTCCGGATTCCGATCCGATGCTGGGGCGGTCCCGAGGAATGTTTGTATGCCTGTATGCTTGATGTCTTTGTGATTCTTGCATGTGTTTGTTATGTGTTATGTGTTCCAGGCTTAGGACCGATGTCGGGGCAAGCCCGATGAATGTCTAGTTAATATGTTATGATAGTATGTTTCGGACTCCGGTCCGATGCCGGGGCGGTTCCCGAGGAATGTTAGTATGTTTCCGGATCTCGGTCCGATGTCGGGCGGGGCCCGAGGAACGTTTACATGCTAGTATTATGTGCTTATGTTATATGTTGGTTGATATGTTTATATGTATGCCGAGATCTGCTCGATGCCCGGCGGGGCCCGATGCCGAGAAGGGTTCGATGTCGGGCGGGGCCCGATGCCGAGAAAGTCGATGCCGAGCTTGACTTGATGTAGCAGGGGCGGGGCCCAAGCTATGTTATGTGATATGTGTATGGTATGTGGTAATTAGGGAGACTCACTAAAGCTTCGTGCTTACAGTTTTCAGTTTTGGTTTCAGGTACTTCCACTAGCAAGGGGAAGGGCTCGGAATGATCGCATGACACACACCACAACTTTAGCCTAAGATTGTTTAGACTCTGATATTTTCTCACGTGATTGTGATACAGTATTTGACATGATATTTTTGAGTGATATGATTTATGATTTATTATGATATTGATGGATTATGGTTTTTACTAAATGATTTTAAAAAGAAATTTTTGGTCTGTATTTTTGGGATGTTACAATATATAAAAAAGAAAATCATCAGAAAAGTCCTTAAACTTTAAGTTTATTAACGAAAAAGTTATCCATGATTTTTTTTTTAAATTTAATCCTTAAAATCGACACTAATCAGATAAATGAATTATTTTGCAACTGTTTACTGGTTTCAACGGTTAAATCGGAAAGAAAAAGTTGATTTTTTTTGTCAATAAACCAAAATATAAGATTTTTATGCAAATTTTTCTTTTTTCGTTTTATAGACTACCAATTTAGACAAAAAGACAAATTACATATATGTAATTTTATTTTTTAGGCCCAAAATTTGATCCTAGTTGCGCTTTGGGCTTTGGGCTGATGATCATTAATTGACAAAGAGAAAAAAACATAGACACCTAATTCTTAATTTCTTCCGTTGTGCAATATTATGCGTGCAACATGTCTTAACATAACATTAGATGGAGATAGTGTTTTAAATGCCTTAACGATGTTACGAAATGCCACAAAACCACAATGGGTCCTCCACGCAATGGATGACCTATACCGAACAATCTAAGAGAAAGTAACATTATCATATTTATATAACTGTAACTGTGTAAGTTTTAAAAACATTATGCCTCTTTTAATTAATCATATATTCATATATAAACTTATGTTGCAAGAATCGTTCAATTATAAATTTCATTTTTTCTATCACAAATTTTATTTTTTATATTATAAATATATGCTACGAGTTTGTTTTTCATAAATTTCAGTCAAGTTTTTATTTAATTTACTAATATATTTGCGTGTATATTGTTTGAATGTTGCTTATTTTTATTTATTTATTTTGTAGGTTATATTTATACTCTACGTGATCTATATTTAACTTGAATGACTAAATTCGAGTAATGTTAGTTTGTTCCATAAATAGGTTGATCATTTCTGGATTTGTCTAATTTTCTCCTTTCACAAACATAACTCACCAAATAAAGCAAAATGATAAACTTTATAAATTGTTTCATTGGAAGCTAGTGTTGGAACTTTATATATATAAAGGAATTGCAAGTTGGCAATTTCCTTTGTATCCCACATTGGTGTGGGAAGAAACTTTTGTGGGTTTATAAGCTTATTTCCTTGATAGGCCTTCAAAGGCTTTAGTGGATCAAAGGAATGGGGCAAGCCCATGCGCGCGTCTAGCACTAGCCGACGCCGCGAGTGCACGAAATGGCGCACTTGGCTCCAGTCGCTGGGAGCTTTTACCGATCCGGTCAACTAGCCATTTGACACTCTCACGAAAATCAGAGCTCTCTCCTACGGATTCGAGCCATAGCACATGGTTTCATAAAACCACACGATTTTCCCGATCTAAATCAAGCAGGTTTTACATGAAGAAGATTTGGCTCAACGTGTTCTATTCGATACGGGTAGGAGAAGAACCCGACCCGGTATTATTAAAAAAATAGAGGAAGCAGAACCAAGTCAAGATGATACAGATCAACCCCTTTTTTTGCGCCAAAGATCTTACCATTTCCGAAGGAACTGGAGTTTCATCTCTTTTCCATTTCCATTCAAGAGTTCTTATGTGTTTCCACGATCTGCATTAAATCCTGGGGTTTTACTCTGTTGCTTACTTCTAGTAGAAGCGAAGTAAAAACCTTTAAGGACAGGAGTCCAATCTGTGCAGTTATCTGAAGTTCAAGATCAACAGGTTGGTTTTATTTTCTGTCTTGCATTTAAATTCGTCCAACAACAGAACAGTCTTCTTCTTTCTTTCTTATAATTAGATCTAATCGTGAAGGATTGATCTGGTTTTGGACGAAACTTGGTAAATATAACAATAATAATTGGATCTATAATTCGCAACTAATCGACATATAATTCTCAATATTATTTGTCGGTTTCCTTGCGTGTCTATTAGTTTGATTTTCAACGGCTTGGACATTATATATTACTCTAGTAAGAATATATTTATGGTATTCATAGTGGAATGCTATTCATATCATCATCATCATCTCTAATAAATGAAAGTTTTTTTGTCACTTGTCACACTCTTATTCAATTTGTCAAATGTCATTTTGTGGTTATTTTGAATTGATTTTTTTCCACATATCAGTTTATGAGTTTTTTTATTTTATTAAATTCCACATAATAATTTAATGTAGTAATTGTAATAAATATACTAACGAAACTAAGAGCTTCACAATTCAGATCTCAACTAAAATGGCATCTAGAAGGGTAAAGTTTCCAACTTTACCCCTAGGAACCACCAAGATTGGTTCAAAACCCAAACCCTAGGCTTAAAAGGGTGAGGGCTTAATCATTAAGCACTAAATCACCAAAGGGATAACCCCAAACTGCAGATCTGGCCCTTAAAGCTGAATGGCCACGTAAAGTTTCCAACTTTACGCTCATGCATGACTAGGAGAGGCTCAAATGTTTAAGAAAGAGGCTCAAATGCTCAAAAAGAGAGGCTCAAATGCTCAAAAGAGGCCAAAAGAATGACTTAATGAATGCATGAAGCCCTTAAGACCATAAAGTTGGCACCTTTATGCCAAAAGAGCTCATAAAGATCTTAGATTTGAAAGAATAAACATTTGGGACATCCTACTTCCCCAACAACCACCCAACCATGGCTAAAAGCATACAATCTAACCCAAGAAGAGATCTGAGCAATTATTACGCAAGGTGAAAACTTGATACCTCAAAAACTTGGCAAATGAGCTAGTGATTCTGGATCCAAGACTCCTTCTTCAAGCCAAGTAACTCCCAATTCCTTAGCTCCTTCAACAAGCACCAAAAATTAACACTCAAGGTTCTCCCCAAGCTCACACACTCAACAATGGAAGGTAATGCTCGATTTTAGGGTTTCTGGACAGAGGAGGCTGGTAAGGAGGCCAACCAAGGGACTTAAGGCCTTTAAATAGGGTGCAACATCCTAAAAATTAAGGTTTCCTTCCCAGCTGCCAACTCGCCGAGTTGAGACACCTCGACTCGCCGAGTTGACTCATTAAACTCCGCGGCCAAAAACAACTCGACATGCCGAGTTAAGGCTTCCAACTTGCCGAGTCCTCCAAGAAAAAAATAAATAATTGGAAAATAAATTCATACCGGAGACTGGAAATGGGACTTAAGGTTCAATATATAGGGCCCAAACCCTAAAGATTAGGGTTTGAGTCCAGGCGGAGTACGCCCCGCGTACTTAGAGTACGCCTAACATACTCCCCTAAAACGGTGTCGTTCCGTTTTTTCCCCTTACGCCCAACGTACCATCCAGGTACGCCCTACGTAAGGGCCAAAGTTGCCAAATCATAAATCAAAGGATTAGAAGGGAAAATTTACCAGGACTCGAGTGTAACAAAAAAAATCTTTCAAAACAAAACCTTCCTTCATTCTAAGAGAGAGAACAAACGTTCTTTTAGCAACAATTTATCCGTTGGGGCCTTTATCACGTAAATAGACTCAAGTTTCATCCACAACCATGATGCACTATCTTGATTGGTTACTTCGTCTAGTATGTTGTCCGTAAGAGATGGAAAAAATATAATGAGCATTTTCTTATTGTTGTTTAAACTCCTAATCAAGTAATCATCCATACTTGCCCTTCCCTCAACAATTTGAAGTCATACAACATGTTTTAGCAACACACTCATCTTAATCTTCCAAAAACTGAAATTATTCTTACTAGTGCACTTATTTATTACCACAAGTATAGGGAAAATCACGAAAATCAATCCCCTTTGCGATCTCTTTAACCCAAGAACACTATGAAAATTTCTTTGAGGACTTTTGTCGAACATTTTGTGTGCAAAAACGGATAACTTTGCATCAATGCAGAATTTAACTGTAGAGGGAATGAGGGATCACATTTTTGTTTTATCACACAAAAAAAGGACAATTAAGTGTAATAACTGTGATTGAACTTGCCTTAGAGTTTTATAGACCCAAAAACTCCATAAAAATTAAAATTGCATATCTATGAGGGATCACTGTTATTAAATCAACCATTTACTCTCTTTCAATTTATGCTTCAAAAAACTACAGCCAATTCAAAACACTTCCAATAAAAAAATTCTAAGAAAACCAAACACATAAAATCTACAGTTATGAAGCATTCAAACAATCAAACTCATGTAAAGGAAAAAAAAAATCAAGATCAAAAACAAAGAAAATACACCACAATACCTGAAAAAAAATGCCATCTTTCAACAACATCAAAACTAAAATAAGTTCACACAATCTACTAAACATATCTACTGTAGTCCAATAAAAACTAAAAAAACAAAAAAGACTGCGATGACACTTCAAGATTCCTACTACAAGAATCTTAAGAAAATTTCACAGAAAAACACAACAAAAAGAAACAACAATTAAACAATCAAGATTCAAGATCTCTACACTGCATATTCTCTGAGCATTTTAGCAACAACCCATGAATCTTTTCATACCCAAATCTGTCCCCAACGGACCCCACCTCTTCTTCATCATTATCACTGTCAATATCTTTAGGTGTCACTCGATTCTGATAACTTCTTCTTCTCAACACAAACACATTGAAGTAATAACTCACAAGATTTTGCTTTGATTTATCACGAATTATATACGCACCTCTTTTCCAAAACTTATTCATAATCTCATGTCTACTCTTGTTGCTATGTGCTAAATCATGTCTTGCTTTTATCACTAAACTTTTGAATACTTTTTCCTCTTCAGGTTCCCATGAAAGTGACACCTCTTCACCCATTTGATTAAATCTCCATTTGTAAAAAAGATCACCAAGTTCGAGTTTCAGTTTATATCTGTTTTCAGCAATGTGAAATCTCACACATTCAGCAGACCCTTTAAACAGACACTCACAATCACATACATTTTGTCTTCCTAACCCAATTACCAAATTACCCTTTTTGTTGATGTCATCTGGTGGGGGCCACATTTGGGTGCCTAGCCACTTGGGATCACTCTGAGTCACTACACCTGTCCATGCTGGCACTACAGCTTGATACAGTGGGCCCAGGTTATGCTTTTGGTTTTGTGGTGGGCCCGTGTTTTCATGCATCCGGAGCTTTCCGGATTCACGTTTCATTCGAGATGATGTACGCAAATTGCAGTTTGTGCATGTGCATTGTTCTGCTGACGTGGCACTTTTGCAGCATACTTTTACTTCAGAAGTATTAACTCTGTTATCATCTTCATACATTGCAGGATGCATCCTCTGGTTCTTTTTCTACAAAAAAAAAAAAAGTTCATGAATCCATCAAACACTTTAATTTATAGAAAGATTCCAATTTTTCACAGATCAAATGAGACACAGAAAGTGTGAATTACAAAACTTTGGAAATATGAATCAGAAACTAATAAGTAAGGCAAATGAGTTTATACCTGTGAAGAACCTTTTGCTTCATTCCCTGAATCAAAACTAATTTCTGCAAAAAGGGCTTTTCTTGATAACAAAGCTTGCTTCCATAGTTTATCACCTGTATATTTTTTCCATTTTGAACTTCTTTGTGAAGTTTTAAAGGCCATATTATGAGGATTCCTTGCAGCATTTGCTACCCAATCTACCATTTCTGATAACAACAAAGATTCTTTCTCCCTCTTCCTCTTTGAAGATCTACTAACATTCTTCACAACATTGCTGACATCATCATCATTCTCAGCAGTTAATATAGCATTGTTGTCAGAATGAAATCTAATTATCTCATCCACAACAATCTTGATTGATGAATCGATTTGTTTTTCATCATCAAGACTTAACTCTTTATCATCATCATCATCATCATTGATCACTGAAAGTCCTACCTTTTTTACAGCATTATCTGAAGATAACTCGCATCTTTTGTCATCCAAAACCCTAAATTCTTCATCATTATCATCACCATTGATTCTTGAAAATGGCACATCAAGATTCATTCCTCCCTCAATTTGATTAAACCCCGATGTACCCTCATCTTTGAATCCAATAATTTCATCGTGACATAAAGATTTTCCAATCTGATTAGACTCAAAACATATATATTCATCCAAGTGGTGTGACAAAAGATCTAGTTTCGCTATAACATCAGTGTCAATATTATCTTTAAATCCTCCTTCACTCAGCCATTGATCCAATTCTTTCAAATACTTGATATAAAGCAGCTTCAAAGATGCCTCAAGCCCAATTTCAAACCCACATTCTTTTGCAACAAATTCCCACATGTTATTCTTTGAAACAAGTTCATAACTCCCTATTCTCTTCACAGTCAAGAACAGCTTAAATAAATCGGCTTCCACTCCATCACCAAGTTTAGGTGGAAAAGGCCTAAACACATTTTTCTTCACAGATTCTTCTTTCAAGAAAAACGAAAGAACTTGATCAAACAATTCCCTCAATCCATTATCATCCATAGAGGCATCCATACATTCATACTTTACATATAAATCCGGATTTACAGACACTTCATCGTTTCTACAAGCTCCTGGAATCTCGATCGAATTCAAATCCGACCCATTTTTCAATTCAGAAACATAGGCCATATTTTGACATCAAGATTCCGGTTCTTTTTTCCTTTCTATCACAAACAACACACTGATAGTAAAAATTGATACAATTTCTGACTTAAAACATGAGAGAAACAGTGATCGGAGTTGAAAACGAGACGATTCACTCCATGGGTTCTTTGCATATAAATTTTTACCTTTGTACAAGTTTTTGCGGCAAGCCCTTTTAATTTGTTTAGTTACCTACAACAACAATGGAAAAAGAGTTTCGTAAGAAAGAGGGATTTGTAGAATTAAGGGTTTAAATGATGCATTTTATGTGGAAATCATTTGGGGATTAAAGAAGAAAGAGGTTTAGGGTATTTGAGACCTCAAGAAATAGGGGAAGACAAGTGCCAGAATGTTTATAGAGACATGTTCTTTTTCTTGGAAAAAATGACATGGAAAATAAAACCAATCTTTAAATTAATAAATGGAAAAAGAAAATAGGAAATAATATAGAATGTGAGATTTACCTTATGGTTCAGATTTGTGAAAAGGGGGATTGATGGGGGATCAATCAACTCACTCACCTCTTTCAATGAAAGTGAATCAAACCCTAATTTTGGAGCATTTCTAGACTTCTACTTGGAGCCTGAGGAGTAAAGACAATTGGGGGTTTTGGTCTAGGTTTGTGGTTTGATGTGTTGTGCACATAAAACACATCTAAAGCCCTTTTTATAGAACCTTACTAAGGGGTATTTTTGTCAATGTTTTTAACTTTATTATTTTTCATTTAATTTAATTGTATCCGATCTGATATCGGTATTTTTTTTAAAGTAATAATGTAATCGATAAATATTACTGTAATGTTGATGGGTCTGTATGTAATAAGTTTTTAAGCAATTTTATATCTTAGATGTTTCAAAATGTTATGTTATACCAATCTCAATTGTTTATATCGTTTTTATAACTTATAAGTTATGTCTATAGTCGATAAATCTTTGTTAGATAAACCCCATACATAAATGAATAGTGATTTGTGCACAACACTTTTTGACCGTACATAACAATTTATATTTTAGATAATTATACTATACAACTATATAAAATACAATTTTTTATGTATGGATAAAAATTGTTGTGAATGAATCATCACCCATAAACAAATAAAAAGTATATAGTTAATTTAGAATATTTGATCGTTAACTAAATATCTAAAATATCTCATGATGTAATAATATTAACAAACAATAAGTTGTAATGACGCTAATGGTAAATAAGTAATTGAAATTGAAATGAGAAATATTTCAAAATAATAATATTAAGATTTCTATTAGACATGATAATTGTCCTTTTTTATACATATTTCAACATACGATTGAAATTTGGATAGGAATGTTATAAAAATAACAGTTACCAATTAAAATTAAAATAAATCCAAAAGGTATCATAAAAATTTATTTCTATTAAAAATTGATGTATAATAAAAAAATGAATTACCGCATTCTAATTATCTAAAATGCAAATAGCTTCTAGTTTTATATAATTTTAAACTTTAATAAAATTATAATCATTTTTACGGAATATTTTTTTGCAAATAATAACTACACTCCCAAATACTAACTAGTTGCCAAACCTGCCCCTAATAATGGGTTAATAAAACATTAATGATATAATGTTTATTCTACAAATCATATTCATATTAAAAAATATGATATGGTTAATTAACATAATATATTTTTAATTAGCATATAAATATGATAATTTCAGATTTCAAATTTAGAAGAATCGATTAACATTAAAGTCTCATGCTATTTTATAATTATTTATTTTCGTTAAACGTGCGTATACCATTTAACTTTTGAATTTCAAATCATTTTCTAGATCATTTTTTTCAATTTATTTTATATTTTAAATGAGTAAGTTGCTTAATTATCTATCATATATGTACTTTCTTATAGGCTAATCATTCTATTAGTTTATGTAAAAGACAAAAATCTTCTTTGCCGAAAAAAGTTATATTAAAGATAACTACACGTTAAATAAATGTTATAATTTTAAATTTGAGACCAATAGAATTTTATGAGATAAATTTTTTGGGTGTAAAAAAAATATTTTAAAAAAATTAAAAATGAAAAAAAAAAAACACAATATATGTAAGTTTTTAAACTTATTTTCAAAAAAATCAAAATAAAAATAAAAACCAAAAAATAAAAAAAATTACCATCAATAATGTTAGAATATATAGAATATGCAGAAAATATGTAAAATTCTATAATATGTGTAAATATTCTACAATATTTACATATATTCTCACATAATTAACCGTATTTTATTTATTATTTATTTTTTGAAGAAAAAGTTTGAAAATTTATAAATTTTCATTTTATTTTATTTTTCATATTTTCTAATTAATTAGACAATATATATATATATATATATATATATATATATATATATATATATCTATATATATATAATAGAGAGAGAGAGAGAGAGAGAGAGAGCTAGGTTCAAATGTGGGTTGACATCTATTGTGCGGACGTGTGGACAGTGCTATTATGTGAGAATGACAAAGAAAATATATTGTTTAGTAATGTGAATACGTTCAATCTTACATAACTATTGTCATTATCACGCATTTTCACCAATTAAATCGTCTATAAAGTTATTATAATTTTTTTTTATTATTATTCACATTCTTTAAAAATGTTGTCAAGATGTTTATGAGTCGTATTTTGTAAGAATGAAAATGAGTGAAAAACGATGCATGAGAACAAAAATGATTAAGAATTAGTGAGAATGCATGGAGATGACAATAATTGTGCGAGCTTGAACGTATTCACATTACTAAACAACTTATTATTTTAATAATTCTCATAGAATAACATTATGCACACGTCCGCACAATATTTATCTATCCATATTATAACCTATATATATATATATATATATATATATATATATATTATATATATATATATATATATATATATCCTCTTGTCTCATAAAATCTTATCGTCTCGTAAACTCAACTTATACTATAAATTAGTTGTTCTAATATGTAAGTAAATTTAATATGTTTCCATATTGTAAAAATATTAATTGAAAATACGACCATTTTTATGTACTTAAGTAACTATTTTTAAAATATTTCTATCACAGCAACAATATGAAAAATAAATTAAAATATCAAGTCATCTTTTGAACTAATTTGTACTACAACTTTCACTGGTGACGTTTAGTGTAAAAGCATTTTACAATTCCTACAAGTCACTAAATAGGTTATTTGCATTTGGATTAGATGGCAATCAAATATGTATCAAGTTTTCAACAACTATATAACTATATAACCGAAAATTTTACAAACAAAGTCTTTTTGTATAATATTTTTGCATCTTAAATAATTACAAGAAATGGTCCATGTAGCACAATATTGCATCATAAATTCTTCCTGTATGATATGGTTTCACATTGATTGTTTCAAGTTTACAACTATATTTTTTTTTGGAAACAGCCATATATTATAAAACTCAACCAGAATAGTAAGAAACTATCTGAGAGCAGAGTACAAATACAGAAACAAATTAAAACAAGAAGGGGAAAGAACAGAAATCTTCCCAATTACAATTAAACATTTTTCCCCTATATTTAATCCATGTATAGACCATCGCCTTGATGTTGTCCACCACTCCACATGAGTTAGCAAATCTCGCCTGGAATATTCGTTCATTACGTGCTCTCCATATTCCCCAAAGCATCCCATAACAAATTGCATTGAATCTCTCCCTTTTTTTTGGACACCTGCTCCAATTTGTTGCAAATTGGATCAACTCATCTATGTTCTGAATATTGCATGTATTAATACCACACCAGCTAATTATTTTTTGTAGAACAGTGGCTGCAAATGGGCATTTTACAACTATATAACTATATGTCTATATAACCGATAATTTTACAAAGTCTTTTTGCGGAATGTTTTTTACATCCTAAATAATTACAAGAAATGGTCCATGTAGCACAGTATTGCATCGTAAATTCTTCCTGTGAATATGGTTACACATAAAATGTCTAATAGAAAAAATTACAAAAATGGTCCCTAAAACAATCACCTTGTCCCTGTGTAATATGGTTTCACATAAAATGTCTCTGTATAGAAACTTTTTTTTATAGAAATTGTCCCTAAAACAGTTACCTAAATGGTCTCTACCACAGTAATTTGCAACACAGATGGTCATTGTGTAATTGAGTTTTATAGAAAATGTCTATATGTCAAAAAAAAGTACATAAATGGTCTCAAAACAATTACAAAATGATCCTTATGATAAAAAAAAAATTACAACATATATGGTCCTTGTGTAATAGAATTTTATAGAAAAGGTTCTTGTGAAGAAAAAAAATATAAAAATGCTCCATAAACAGTTCAGAAATGATCATCAAAGAAAGTCGCAACAGAAATGATCATTGTTTAATAAAAAATCACATGAACACTCCATGTGCAAAACAAAATTTACTACCAAAACAATTAAAGAAATGGTTGATGTGGTAGAGTATTGCAACATAAAGGGCTTCTTTGTAATAGATTTTTATAGAAAAATCCCTTGTGCATAATTTTGTAAAGAAATAGTCCATAAACAATTACAAGAATTGGTCCTCATGCCAACAATCTACGTAGGAACTACAATGATCAGTTGCATAGCAATAAATGCAAGAATATTTACTTCCATAATCTCAATCTCCTCGTTTTTTATTCACAATAACTCGTGATGCCAATAATCTACTCTAATAAATGAAAAAAAAAATTGTCACATGTTACACACTCATTCAATTTGCCAAATATCATTTTGTGGTTATTTTAAATTAATTTTTTTTCCACATGTCATTTTATAAGTTTTTATATTTTAATAAATTATGTATAATACTTTAATGCAATAATTACAATAGATGTTGTAATCCTCTCTAATAAATGAAAATATTTTTGCCACATGTCATATTTTCATGCATTTTGACACATGTAATTTTGTGCTTAATTTTTAGAAATTAATTTTCACTTGTCATTTTGTGGTAATTTTCGATTTTCTTAATTAACTATCTAATTTTTAGGTTATAGAAAGTAATTAATGTGTCATTAATTTGTTTCCTTGTATTTTCAAATTTTAATATGTTTCCTTCAATATATATAATTCAAAATTGGTATGTTTTTTCAAAGTTCATTGACATTTTAGGCAAAATGGCCTATATAGAAAAAAATAATCAAACTTTATTGCTTTTTATTGACAAACTAAAAAAAGGTTATATGGTCAAAATATAATTATTTTTTTGTAGTTTGTTTTATTAGTATAAATTGAATTATTTATTTATTCATCATTTTGTTTGTATATATTTTGAAATTTTATTTTAAAAAATACTTAATGTTTACACTTTGATATTTAATGTTTTCTTTAAAAAAAAACTTAATGTTTATATCTTCATATATAAATTTTTTTAATCAACCCGTGTACTACACGGGTTTCTTTCACACCTAATAAATAAATATTTTTTCTTGTCACATATCACACTCTTATTCAATTTGTCAAATATCATTTTGTGGTTATTTTGAATTAATTTTATTTTGACATGTCATTTTATAGGTTTTTCTATTTTAATAAATTCCACATAATATTTTAATGTAATAATTATAATAAATGTTGTAATAAATGAAT